GGAAGGGGGTGGAGTTGCTGTGGTTTTTTTTTTTTTCTTTGAACACGGTGAAGACTTTAGCTTGGAACTTGCATTTGTGGAGCTCCCAGCCGGCAGGAATCAGCTCTCCCTCCTGCAGGAGACACCCCCTCCCCTGGGAGGGACACGGACACCGCTCCTCTGCCCTGCACTTTGGGGTGACACCTTTGGGGCAGCGGCGAGGGCAGGAGGCATGGGGTGATCTTTGGCTGCCTTCCTCTTCCTCGGCGCCCCCGTCGCCTTTTCTCTCTCTTTTTGCTTGTCTGGGGGCTCGTGCTGAGGCTGCCTGCGCCAGGAGGGATCCGGGAGCGAGACATCCCTCGGCTGCACAAATTGGCTTCCCACCTGCTCGCAGCCTCCAGGAAGTTTTCCCTCCATCCCAGGCGTTGTGAGAAGAAAGGCAGGAGGTCACTCGGAGCCCACCGTCCCAAGCCTTGGCATGTGAGGGGTGGGCAGGGGGACAGCAAGCTTTCCTCTTGCCTTCCCTGGAGATCTGGGATCAGGCGTAGACCATGAATGGATCCTTTTTCAACCAGACTCTGCTAGAGCAGGGAGCTTACCCCAACAGGACCCAGGGCTTGGGGATGCTCATGGCCTGCTGCAATGGGACCGGCTCGGTGCTGGCCACCGACGGTGGCTCCTCGGTCCTGGCGCCTGACGAGAGGAGCCTTTACATCACGCGGGTGGTGCAGATCGCCGTCCTCTGTGTCCTCTCCTTGACTGTCATGTTCGGCATCTTCTTTTTGGGCTGCAACTTGCTCATCAAGTCGGAGAGCATGATTAACTTTCTGGTGAAGGACCGAAGACCTTCCAAGGATGTGGGAGCTGCAATCATGGGGCTTTACTGAACCCACCGGGCTTTTGTAGGCAAGTGAACTGGCTGGACCTGGTGCTGAGCTGCAGATTCCCATGTGTTTGGGGCAGCTGGGGTGGGGGGGGAGTGGAAAGGGGGGAGGGTTCTTTTAATGTGTCTGTGTCCATGGGAAAGCAAATCTGTGCTTCCCAGTCAACAAACTGTCCTGGTGAAGGGGGAAATCTCCCTGGAGTTGTATGAAGTACAATAAATGACCAGCATCGTGTTGCATGCAGAAATGGCTTAAGTTTTGCATGAAACTTGCAGAAACAGTGATAATGTGCAGATCTGGACTCTTTTCTGCTGTTACCTTGGATACCACTACCTGGGATTTAGGGCTACAAAAAAAAAAAAAAAAAAAGGAAAAAAAAGGAAAAAAAAAAGCAAATAACTTACTACAAAAAGAAAGCAAAAAAACAAACTAAAGGGAAAGCGAAATGCGTGGCACGGACCACATCTTTGACCATGGGGCAGGGGAAGGGAAGTGCCATGTGGGTCGTACAACAAAGTCTGCATGCTACAAAATGTGTCAGTCTGTTTGTATATGGGACCTCAAGCATGCATCTTCTGCTAGAGTTTTGTAACGGGGAAAGCATGTTCTTCCTTATTTTTCTGAGCTCTCCTGTTAAATAAACTGGTACTTTCTTCTTTCACGCTATGCTGAAGGAAGAAAAGAACCCAGATAAATTCAAAAGACCACTCCAACCCCAAAACAAAAGCATGCTTGTTTTTGTACACAACAGCCTTTTTCCAAGTTATTGTTATATTGTTACAGTCCTTGACGTTTTTGTAGTTTTTTGAAAACCGGTGAACATTCAGGAAAAAAAAAAGAACCTGTTTCAAAAGAATTTGGTGTTGTTTTCTTTTTCTTTCTCTGTGTGTACTGAGTTCAGATATTTCAATCCTAGTTCCTGATATAATCATTTCACCTTCCAATTGAAATCTAATTAGAGATATTTATGTAAAGCAGAAACCACCACACATTTTTCACAGTAAGTGTCAGTTACCACTAACAAATGAATTCACGGAATCATAGAATGGTTCAGGTTGAAAGCGACCTTAGAGATCATTGAGTTCCAACCACCCTGCCATAGGAATTTCATGGGGAATGCATCAGGAACGACATATTTCAGGCTTGTGTCAAATACCTGCACAGTGCTGAAGCAGAGATTCATAAAGATGCACCGAGTGCCTCTTGCAAAGCAAGATTGCAGCCTCCGAGTTGAAGTCTCCAGCTCCTCTGATCCTGATGAGCTGTCAAAACTAAATTATGTGAGAGGAAGAGGACTCCTCACCTTTGTTCCGTGATGGAATTGCAGTTCTGTCCGTGGGTGTGAGATGGAAATAATTTGAGTTTTGTTGCGCCAACAGTATTCCTGCTGGGTCCACTTCTGTAGTGGGAAAGCAACCCTGGATACTGGGGGAGCTGATGATCTGATGTACTTGGATGTGAATCCAGAAAAAAACAGCTCTCTGCCTTTCCCAGGAGGAGGAACAAGATTAGAGTGCATTTGGTAATTAATCAATATTTGCTGAGTCCCTTCGTCAAGGTTCCCACGGGTTATTGCTGGACTCAACCCAACACAGAGCAGGACCAGTGCAGTGCTGTCACTGGTGGCTCCCACTCCTGTTGTCTTTAATGCCTTAAGAGCACAAAGACCATGTGGCAGCAGGAGCAGAATTTGGGATTCACAGCTCTGAAACATGCTGTTGGTGCTGGTGAAATGGCTGAACAGGTAGGGCACTGATTTTTATGAGCAGCTCATGGCCCTGCACACCTCACACCTGAGCAGCTTCTCAGCAGGGGGATGGCAGAGGTGGAAGTGCCTTCACACCACAGTTTGGAAAGGGATTTTAGTCCCTGCTGCTGAAGGGGGTGTTATGGCCATCGATCTCTTTGCGTATGACTGATTTTTATGAGCAGCTCACGGCCCTGCACACCTGAGCAGCTTCTCAGCAGGGGGATGGCAGAGGTAAAAGTGGCTTCACACCTCAGCATGGAAAGGGATTTTAGTCCCTGCTGCTGAAGGGGGTGTTATGGCCATCGATCTCTTTGCGTATGAGTGCAAACCCCTCCTGCCGTGACAGCCTGGTCACGACATCAGGGTGAGATGCAAATAACCCCAATGCAAGCGGTGACCCAGCTCTTCAAACACTTAGAAGTGTATACACTTGAGTGTATAACCTAAATGTGTAACTGTATCTTCAGGTCGCTGTGCTGTCAAAGGACAGCCCAGATGTACTCACCAAACTCCCATCCAGCTTCTGCTTTAAGCTGGTGTTTGGTCTCTCTGGCCCATCCATCCACCGGCCGTGTCCCTCGTGTGAGGGACAATTCAGAGGCGATGGAAGAAACCTTCCAGTGTCAGCGATGCAAGCAAGGCACAGGAAAAGTTGCTAATCTGAAGAGAGCATCAAAATCACCTTAACCCTGACCTGCAGCAGTGCCCTGAGTGAAGAAGCTGGTCAAATTATTATAGAATCATAGAATGGTTTGGGTTGGAAGGGACCTCAAAGATCATCGAGTTCCAACCCCCCTGCCATGGGCAGGGACACCTCCCACTAGAGCAGGTTGCTCAAGGCCACATCCAGCCTGGCCTTGAACACTTCCAGGGATGGGGCATCCACAACTTCCCTGGGCAACCTGTTCCAGTGTCTCACCACCCTCATAGTAAAAAATTATCTCAGCTGTCCCCACCTGCCTTGCTCTGCCAGGGGCCATGAGAGCTGGTGTGTGTGTTGAGGGGCCCCGCAGCCCAGTGGGGAAACATGGCTCTGCAATCCCACATGGCCACCAACTCACCAAGTGTCCTCAGAGGCCACATCCAGCAGTGGGGGGTGGGGGTCTTCATCCCTTTTGCGCTGTGGGATCTGTCAGAGGAAAGGAGAAAAGTCAACCACAGTAGGGTCATGTATACATGCGGTGGAGGAGCAATGTGATGTTCCAGAAAGCAGAGCTGGGCACCTACTGAGGCAGATGGAACTTGCTCAGGAGTCAGTTAGGAGAGGGAAGTCTTTCCACGTGGCCTCTTGGGGCAGGATCACAACTTGACATTGGCTGATTCGTCCTCTAGTCATGCTGTGTGTCTTTTCTGACAGTAAGGGTGATGTGGACCAACAGAAGAGGGTCTGCAGAGTGAAGCAGTTGGTGGGCACCATCCATGTTTGCCATACTAGGTGGCATGTGTCCCCATGGGGTTATTTGGCTTCAGTCTTGCTTGCAGTGGGTTTAAGACACTTGCACACAACTCCCCACCCCAATTAAAGGGTGATTATCCCACTGAGAAGATGAATTATTTGGGGAAAAGAAGATCTCTGGAGGATTGCTAACAGCACTGAGATGGCAAGGGAAGACCAGAAGGAAGGCAACAGAGGTCCAGCACGGTGAGGGAACACCTTGGATTAGTGATTTGGAGCCAGTGCAGGTCGTGCCTGGTGGAAGAGGGGATGCTGAGGGCACCATGATGCTCCCGAGATCTCAGGGGAAGAGCTGCCTTCTCAGGCCCTGAAAACCCAGCTGCCCTGCCCCAGAGGCACGAGTCCTGCAGCCGGAGGATGAGGTGGTGACTCCAGGGCTTGCGTAAGGAAGACAGACCATAATGGCTCTTTCTGCTGCCTTTCCCCACAAATAGCTGCATTTTTTCATCTCACGCCTACTCATTTAGCTTAAGCTCGCAAGTGGGTACTGGCTCCCAAGAAAATTTAAGCAGGGTTTTTTTTTTTTTGATCAAGGCTGGTTTAATGTTATTTTGATTTCTTTTTTTAATTGTTGCTTGTGGCATGTTAGCAACCAGAACATCACTGGGGTGCCAGGAGCTGTACAAGTATGACTGAGAGACACTGCCGTCTATAAAGTACAGCAGAGGGACAGGGAGAGAGGGACAGGCTTAGGTGGATTGTCACATCTGTGGCACAGTGAGGACCAGCCATTGTGACTCATTTAAATTCATGTCCTAGCAGTGGAATACAAGATACCAACGCAATCCTGTGGGACTGGCCACACTGCTCTGAGCCTCTGGTCCATCTAGTCTGCATTCCTCCTCTGAAAACAATCAGGATTTTAGGCAGTACATGGTCAGTCAAGTTATCCTACTAATGAGGAACTGCTTCTTGACCCCCACCAAGAGCAACCTGCACTGGACCTTCACAATCCTCCTTCAGGAACAGCTCCCTGTCTCTGGGCTGGTCCCCACTTGCCGCAACTCTGTTCCAGCAGGAACTTCTTATTTCTAGACAGACAGCAGGGAAACAGCAGAGAAAGGCAAGTGTGAGAGCATTTCCCCCTGCTGAGCAGCCTGCCTGCAAAGAGAAATCCTCTGCCTCTGTGATCACTGATTTTACAATTGGAGAAATAAAGAGGTGGCTTGACCCACCTGAGAAAACCCAGCAACCCTGGTCATACTCCTGCCTGTGGTGGGGAAAAAACCAAACTAACAACTCCCAAACAATACCCACCTCCTTCTCCCTGCCCTGGCAGGCTTGGCTGAGGACAATGAAAGAGTTAAACAAGATGAGACAGACAAATAGATTAGGGGGGAGGGAGGATCCCAACCTGAGCCTGGCACCAGATGTACTAGAGCGCGTGCACCAAACATACACAGTATTTAATAATTCTTGAGAATTGCCATGGTAATGAAGAGCAGAGTCAGGTTGTTATGGTAACAGCCTTTTTTTTTAGGCAGGGAGGCATTACCCAGGTTGTAACCTCAATCCAGACTGAACACATTGCTGAGAGCCCAAAAAATAAAAAAGAAGTAAAATAAAATCAAATTAGATAAGTAGCAGTTTCCTGTCTCTCGTCTGGCAGTTCTGGGCTTGTTCGGTAGGTAGGTGGAGAGAACCAGGTTCTTCCAGACACACATTGCCCTGGGAAGTCTGGGGAACGTCTGGAGTGGATCTCTGAAGGTACGAAACCCAGTGCTGATGGGCCTGAGGGCCTGGACCCCTCTCATGGTGGGTTCTGGAATGCTCCCTCACCACCTGGTTTTCCTTCCAGACCTCTGGCCTGGCTTCAGGTGTGTCCCCAGCTGGCTAAGGAGAAGGACACGTGCATCTCCCCAAGTGTATACACAAGAGAGTGGCCATGGACAAGCCCTCATCCAAGCTGAGCCCACAGAAGGATGCTGTGATCCCAGTTTGCAGCCAGCCTAAGGTTACCTGGTACTGGCCCAGGTTTCCCAGAGAAGCTGTGGCTGCCCCATCCCTGGAGGGGTTCAAGGCCAGGTTGGAGGGGGCTTGGAGCAACCTGGGCTGGTGGGAGGTGTCCCTGCCCAGGGCAGGGGGGTTGGAACTGGGTGATCCTTCCAATCTAAACCACTCTATGATTCTATGATCCCAAGCAATAAAGGTCCCAAAACTGGTCTCCACGATGAATCAGGCAGTTTGGGGGCTGGAAAGGAGGTAACAGACCACTTTTCCTAAAGGCACATGACAGACCTGAGAAGACAACACAGGTTCCCTGAGCTGTAGAAAGTTCTCCAGGCTGCTGTGCTCCCCAAAGGGCCACCCATTAAGCCGTAATGGAAATCCTCTGTGTCTCCCTCCTGCCCTCACATCAGCGGACAAAACATCACTTCCATCTGCCCTCCCAAACCATCCCCTCCAGCAAGTCAGGTTTGTCCGGCTGATCCTCACATTGAATTTTAACATAATGCTGGTTAAATCAGCAGCTTTGTGAGCCCGTGTGCTACGAAGGAAGCCGAGGCTGCGCAGCCGAACCCCTGAGCAGGGGGGTCACTTAGCGGGGAGACGTGGCTGGAAATGCACAGCGCAATTACTGGGGAACATCACTCCACAAATCCCCACTGCAGCTCAGCAGGGTTCCCTTCTACCGGCTGTGTCAGAGCCA